ACAAACAGTTTTAACAAAAAACAAACAATTTGAACAAAAAACAAACAATTTGAACAAAAAACAAACAGTTTTAACAAAAAACAAACAATTTTAACAAAAAACAAACAATTTTAACAAAAAACAAACAGTTTGAACAAAAAACAAACAGTTTGAACAAAAAACAAACATTTTGAATGTCCAGAGGACCAGATTGAACTTTTTTGGATTGTTCTACCTGGATTATTGAGCAGCATCACAAAAAACAAACAGTTTGAACAAAAAAACGAACAGTTTTAACAAAAAACAGTTTGAACAAAAAAACGAACAGTTTTAACAAAAAACAGTTTGAACAAAAAAACGAACAGTTTGAACAAAAAACAAAGAGTTTTAAACTTTCACGTCTACAACTCAGCTGCTTTTGTAAAAGAGAGAGAGCAGTTTGTCAACTCCTGATAAAGTATCTCACCAAACTAAACCGAGTGGACTGAGTGCACGAGCATCCAGTGCTGCGTGAACGGCACGTGCACGTACCTTTAGACAGAACGAACGCCTCGGCTCCACTGTCCTCCTCCTGCAGCTCCGCCATCAGGTCCCCCACTGTCATGAGCATGGGTCTGAGGAAGAACCGGCAGGTCTCGCTCCTGGACGGCAGCGGCACCTCGAGGACCAGACGTCCATGTGTGCACTTCAGGGACACTGCGGCACAGAGAGTCTGCTCCTAAAGGTTTCTACATGAAGGGAGGTGTAGGAGCAGGAGCTTACCACTAGATGGAGCTGGTGGGCTGCAGAAGAAAGCCTGGCTGTTTCTGAGCTGTGGGTGTCTCTGATGAACCTGAGCAGAAGACACCAACAGTGAAGAAGTTCACACATAGTTCCTGGTGTCACCACCAACACCTCCCTCAGTAAACAGTCCTGTCACAGGATACTGGAGCGAACAGATCGTCCTGAAAACAGAGACCGCCTGACTTTCCTGTTCGTCTGGAAGCTGCCGTTAAACGTGGTCATTTCAGGCAACAGCTACAAATATTCACATTTACATTTACTACAACGTTTAGAGAAGACGGTTCAGCTGCAGCTCCTGTGGTCCTTAACCGTGAAGCTGTCGAGGTGGAGCAGCTGTATAAACATCTGGGGACTGTCCTTGGAGACACACTGACCTTTGACCCCCATGTGAACTCACTTTGTAAGAAGGTCCACCAGAGAACGTATTTTTATCAGAAGATGAAGACAGAACCTCTCTGACCTACAGAACCTCACTGACCTACAGAACCTCTCTGACCTACAGAACCTCTCTGACCTACAGAACCTCTCTGACCTACAGAACCTCACTGACCTACAGAACCTCTCCGACCTACAGAACCTCACTGACCTACAGAACCTCTCCGACCTATAGAACCTCTCCGACCTACAGAACCTCTCTGACCTACAGAACCTCAGTGACCTACAGAACCTCTCTAACCTACAG